AACGCATAGTGAAGTTTCTCCAGACCACTCGATTCTGTCCAGATGCGTTTCTTGTTCTTGATGAGTAGATTCACCATAAAAGGGGATTTATTTCAAATTTCAGTTTTAAATCAAACTTTTCGGAAAGAATCTTCATCTAAATTCTGTATTATTAATGCAAAGTTCAGCTAACTTCTTGTAAACACAAAGACTGAAACAATCCTGCCCGAGACCACAAAAGCAAGGAGTTAAATACTAAGATTGTATACTTCATTCCCTGCTGTTGTCCTATATTTATGTGCGTGCCTCTGATGTTGCGCTAATGAGAACAGTAGCATACCAGATGAGGTACATTTTTCATTCTGAATTTGATGTGTTTTGGTAATTGATATAAATGTTAACATTACTAAAACAGATTTTTGTGTATTCATCTATTTTTACTTTTCGGTCTGGAGAAAAAAATGTAATGATGTTGCCAATGAAAACCAAAAAAAATCTTTTCCTGTACATTTCTGTTGGCTGACACATCATGTCTGCAAATAAATGTCTTCCTCTAGTCTTTTCATTACACAAAACCACCAAGACAAATGAAACATGTGCCACATTATGAACATTTACCAAAAGTTGAATACTTTGGCAATGTGGTATTATAGCTCCTTATACACAGACTCAGTTCTTCAACTAATTAACTCTTTTGTATTTTTAAGGCTGACATATGAGCTCAAGTTGACATTGCCACTTCCTGTTTGAAATACTCCATACTGAACCATAAGAAAAATGAGATGCATTTCTTCACTCTCACATTTTAGGAYAGTACATATAATACAGACCATACTATGAAACTAACAACAAGCACAACCCTGAGCCCATTTCGAGTCATGAGGGAGAGAAATATCTTCTGGAGATGTGAAAGGGCTGGATTTGAAGCCCAGCCTAAGAAAAATGCCTTGAAAAGACCTGGAAGGATTTGTGAATAGTTGCGACCCAAGTTTAGTTTAGGCTACTGCTGTGACCTAAAAGTTAATCTAAGCTAATTGAGAATTTTTCATTTGGATCATCCTACAGAAGTATTCACACTGTGGCAAAGAAAATTAGTTGCTCTATGACTCATGGGATTCACCTCATGCTAGTGTGCCAGATGGAGAAAGATTGGGTAATAAATTGAGCCCTCTGTATATTCTTTTGTTTTTTTTAAATGAACTTCCCTTTGTGGAAGGGGAGCGTGGTGGRAGCGCCATAAAAAATGCACCAACTATATCACCCTCTGCTTCAATAAATGAATTACAAACTTCCCATCTTGGCAAGGACTAAAACATCTCAAATGGATGGGACAATGACCATGATAAATGTCTAGACAGCAATGTGGAAGAAAAATACTTCCTATGTTTTTATTCATATGCTAATCCAGAAAGTATATTTCAGATATGTGAAAAGACTAGCCTTAATAATGGTTGTCCTTCTGCAATGATGGGTAATAGAAAGTAGTTTTTCTAAAATTACATGAAATCTAAAATGCTAAATATTTAAAACTCAAGTGACTTGCAGTCAGAAAGATTCCCYTTTTATTTGCTATAGATAGATTAAGATATTAGATTATAAACTAAAGGGTTAAAAAGGAGTCTTTTGAGAGTATTACAGCTTGGCTAGCAATTAGTCTGTATTTTTCCTAATTCTTCCAGACTGATGCATTATCACTAAGCAATTGTTGCTTGGTATTGCAGTTGGTAGTGCAGAACTTCACTCCAAAGGGAACTTTATTAGACAATTTAGCACTAAAATTCTAGCTGTTAAAAATACRGGAATATTTCCAAGAAGAAAGATGATTCATGCATACAAAATTCCATATGCACATTTTGATTAAAGAATATTCCCAAGATGAAAGATTTGCAGCCAATGATTATGTTATCAAGAACATATGGGACTATCAGAAAATCAATATGCTGCTCATTACCCTATTTTTTTTAAYAGGAAAATAAGCATCTTGGGGCAACTGACTCTTTACAGGTCAGTAAAGGTCCAGTATTACCCCAAAGTATTAAAACATTTCTTTTTGAAGAGTGAACAACAAATGAACACAAGATATTTCATGCAGAAGTTATACAAGTAATTGTACGTATGCTTATCTTCATCTTTCAGACGGACRAGTTCTCATTGAACCCCATGCACTTCTCTTAACTACACATTTTCATCTTGGAAACTCATATTTTAGAAGCAAAGGTCCTTCTCTTCATATCTTTCAGGTTTAGTGATCATCACTACTCATAACCTACAGGAAACAGTGTCTCGATTCACCACTGAGAAAATCTATATACATGACATCACACTGATGAGTGCTTTACTCCACTCCCAGACCCATGGACCAACAYTGATGTTTGTGTGAATAAAAATCACAAGAAGTTGAATAGAGTTTGTTGAGGATTACATTTGCTTTTGAAGATTACATTAATTGCCTTTCAAAACAGTGATTTTACAGAGCAGGCCGCTTTGCCTAGCTGAAAAACACGTGTAAGTAGTTAGGAAGTCAGTACAGGAGAGAAGGAGGGAACTCCATTTCCGTGGGCTGCCCAGCATCCCGCAGGTCTGCTCCAGCTTGGCTGCTGCTTTTGTCTCCGACACGCAGCGCCCAACAGCTGAGCATTACTCATCAAAATTGCTGCTGTGTCCTCGCAGGCACAGATGCTTCAACGTCTACCGTGGCCGCTAGAAACTGCAGCCACACAAACTGAAATGGATCACGAAACTGGAACCCCACTCCTACTTTTGGGGAAGTTGGACTATCCTGCCATATACAGCTCTCCCCAAAGTTCAAAAAAAAATCTCCAGTGTATAGCAAAAGTCAAAAATAAAGCTGTTTTCTTTTGCCTGGCCCTGTGCTATCTATGCTGTCTAAACTAAGTAATACTTGCTAYGGAGTGCAACTCTGCAAAAGCTTCTGTGCTCCAGTGATCGCAAAGCCTCTGCAAAGAGAAACCAGTAGGTTCTGCCTAGTCTAAGAGTTCCAGTACACAAGCATCCAGCAAGCACCKATCTGAGCTTGGCCAGAACAATATATACAGCTGCTCTTACAGAGAGAAATGGAAAAACAATTTGAACGTAGTAGAGAATTTTGTAGGACTTTCACTTGAGAGCATAAAACACATATTCTTACCCTAGTGCTTTTTAATGACATGCCTGCTGCTACTTAAAGCAAACTTTATATTGGCAGAAGGGTTTTTTAATTAAAAAAAAAAATAAATAAATAAATAAAAATCTTGGTCCTCCTAACGCTACAGGAAAACTATGCTACACATACCTGTCAACAGCTAATAAACCATTACCACAAAGCTATTGTTCTGGTTTTAGGAAAAGTTTTATAATGTCACATTCCACTGTAGGGTGACTCTTGGTAAATACTGACTTTGTGGTAATAGTTTCAGCTATCATTCTCAAAGACTGCTTTTACTCAAAAGAGCCACTATAATTCAAGCAAGACCTATCTGCATTTTTAAGAGTTTCAGAAGCTGTAATCTATATACATCTCACCTACTCCTTCTCATTCTTTTATTCAGACTCTCATCCCTCTACCCACCTTTTCTCACAGAGTTCCTCCTTCTGACCAGGAAAATTAAGTACCAGAATAGCGTTTCATAGCCAGATGTTTCAGAATTCCTTGTCCACTAAAAACAGAAGATAACCAAATCTCTCTTAGAATGCTGTTCTCACAAGAATTTGACATGTTTTTCAGAGGGAAATGTTTTAGATGCAATCAATGGACAAGGGTTGAGAATCTTTGAACTTTTTATATGTTTTTTTTCCAWCTTCGTGTTATCAGTTATGTATCTTAATCCTTCTATGTCTGGTATGCACTGTGAATCACAGACTAGCTCTGGGTGCCAGTGCTGGATGCCTGGAAACTGCTGGGCTTCTATAAGACCACCACCGTTGTTCCTCACTCCAGAACTCCAGGAGGTTTTGGTGCGCAGAGGCCTGCGAGTGGACACACCACTTCCCGCATGCTAWCCGGTTCATGTTGTAAAGAAGAGTTTACTCCCAGGAACTGTGGTTCTAGTTCAGCACAGCCACAAAATATTGCGGAAAAAARCCCCACTTCCTTGACCTCAAAAGACTAATGAAACATAGAATGTGTCCACCTCTATTTTTAGATGGATGCTCTGCAGTGCCATATTCCTTAATCTAAGGCTGATCCAAATGTTCCAAGAGCAGAGGTTGGTTTCTCCTTGATGGCCAAGGCATATCTCTGCTTTCCAAGTTTCTGTAAACACATCATTATATGGAAGGCCAGTCTTACTTTTCCCAGCCTTCTTTCTAATATGTGCCTGCTGCCAAGAAACTTTCACATCTTTCCCCCCCCCCCCCCCCCCCCATGGTACTAAATTTTAAACAAATGCCTACTACAGCCCAGGAGAGAGACACAAACCCACATCCTCCAGAGCAGTTTCTGTTAGAAGTTGCAAAGTTATTAGGTAACACGACATTCTTCTCAGCACTCAGTTATAAACACTCGACCAAAAAAGTCAGCAAGAGCGCATCACCGCTAACTCACCAAATATGTTTTCCTCACGGACTACCCAGCTCCACGGTACCAGCGAAAAGTTTCAGCCCCGGCTCCGTTTGGGCAACGAGCCTCAGCTCCGTCCCTGGAGCGCGGGGCGTCGCGCTCGCGGCCCCCTCTCCCCTCACGCGCGGCTACCKCTGTGCTCGCACGAGGCGAGCTCCAACGCGCGGCGATCTCGCCGCTGGGTCGCCCTCACTCGCCGCCGCCGGAGGCGGGAGGCTTCGGCCCCCGCGCACGGCGCGATGCTGCGCGGCTGCCGGAGCCGCCACACAGAGTGCCGGGCTCACAAGCGGCTGCAGGCGACGCGCCCGGCTGCCGTGGAAAGAAGGAGCGGCGCGGGAAAGAGGGACCTGAGGAGGGCGGCAGGAGMCGCTCACGGCGCCCTCTCGCCCGCCCCGACCCCGCTCCGCTCCGCGCCGCCCTCCCTGCGCGCCCCGCGGGAGCAGCGCCGCGGCTCCCTCCCTACCTCGGCGCTCAGCGGAGCGCGGATCGCATCGCCGGGCTGCGCGGGGCCGGGCCGAGCCGTGCCGGGCCGAGCCGGGCCGGGGCGCGCGGGGCGGGCGGAGCGGCGCGGGCGCAGGTAGCGGCCGTTATATAGGCCGGCCCGGCGCCGTCACTCACGAGGCCGCCGCCGTCTCCCGCCTCCCGCCCCGGCGGCTTCACGTTAAGAGTCCCACGGAGGCGCCTCCGCTCCGGGGCTGCCGTGGCCAGAGGCTCGGCCCCGCGCTCGCCCGCTGCCCTGCCCTGCCCTCCCCGCCGGGCTCCGTGCGGGTACCCGGCAGCGGCGACGGGGGAACAACGCCGAGCTCGGCCCGCGAGCTGCCCCGGGAGCGGAGGCAGCGCCGCCGCTGGAGCTCTGCTCAGCTGCCCTGCGGGGAAAAAGTTTCCCACATTTCCCCATCGCTAAGCCTRCGTGACCGAACGGGCAGGGCATCTAGGGGTTCAGCACAGACCTTAGCCCATCTCCAGTCACTCTTCTAAGCTTCTTCATGACTCAGAGCACTACTCATCCTTCAACTTTTCAAACTTTTCAAAATAAACCCAACTTCAACTTCTCTCGGAAGCTCTGTTGCACTGCTGCACAGTGTGGTAGGCACTTGCTTCAGCATGGTCTCTACTGCCCTGAGCTGCCAGGGGACAGTGTCCAAGCTCAGAGAGCACTCACAGTTCCACACTCTGATCCTGCAAACATATGCAGAGTGTCAAAGGAACAGGTACTGGACAGACTTATATATACACACACCATATACACACATGTTACTACCGCATATTCCACAAAGACCATCACTGGAGTGCAAGTAACAACTGAAAAATAGATTGCTACTGTGGCTTCATACTCTTCCTCTTACAGTCAGTTTGGAGTGGAGTCAGGGCTTCCTTGCAATAACGTATCAACTTCAGTTTCATAAGAAAGGCAAGCTTCAAACAAATCTTAAGAATGTCTGTTCTCAAACTCATGCATAATCCACATTGGAGACATAGATATCACTTGAATCTTTCCCAAGGCGGACAACAAAGCAGCATATAAATGCTGTTAGAGCTCTCTCAACACCATTAAGCATCCTAAACACTCGGTTAAGAGGGTTAGGGTAACCGACAGTAAGGGCACCCTCATCCTTTTTTTGGATCCACTGTCCATCAGGCCGTTGTGAATCACAGCCCAGCTCTGGATGCCTGACATCTGCTGAGTTTCCACAGCAATGTCATCACAACTATTTTTCTCACATGGCTGTGATCGCGCAGGATGTGAGAGACCTTTACTTACAACATTTCTTTCGAAAAGAGGCACGGCAGGACAAGGCGGCTCTGCAACTTCCCCTGCCTAGTCCAACACCCTTGCCCCTTGCCCCAGCACCAACTGGGGAAAAGCAAGAACTGCTGCCAACCTGGAAAACTCTGGGAGGGAATGAAGCATTTCCAGCTGCTGCCACAGCAAAYCACACATCAGAGCCAGGAACCTCTGCTGCAGCAATTCATCCCTCTCTTTCCAATTCCAGTTGCATGACTAGGGGTAGAAGCATTGTAGCTCACACACACAGTACTAATGTAGTGCAAAGATAAAAAGAGTATCACTCATCACTATTCAGGTCACCATATGATTTGGGGAAAGTGTCTCATTTGAAGACAGCATTGTATCTAAGCAGAACACAAATAACAAGTGGCTATCATGCTGTTGGAAAAAGCCTATTACAGGAAAACACTAACCGGATTTTAAGTCTCCCATCTGCACGTTCTCATTCACATTTCCTTATAGCAGGTACTGTCAATACTAAAGTAAAAAAAACTGCTTCGCCAATACTGTGTCTTCTACTGTCACAATTCTTACATTGCCTGTACTTTGCACATATGTTTCAAGAATTTTGGAAAATAAGCTTATGCCTATGCACATAGCTCATGTTCACTCCATGGGAATGGGAGATGGAAGCAGAAGGACAGCTTGGGCACATGACCTTAGCTCAAGACACTTGCTTCACCGCGATTCCATAAGCATAACTGGATGCTGGAACTGGCACAGACCTCRAAAATGAAGCTCAACTTACTGCCAATTAAATACGAGGCACAATGCGAGACAGAAATCCAAAGAAAAAGGAAGCAAATCATATGCTTGGCTTAAAACTTGCAATGATCATCTCATGCTTGACTTAAAATTGATCATGATCTCTAATTCTTCTAACAACTTAATCTAACATTACAGATGTATAAATGTTTCTATAGTTTAAATAATTTGCAACTATATGTAAAGAATGCCTTGTATACTAAACTGTGGGAAATTCATTTACATACAACCATACAACTGCATATGAATGAATAGTAATATTTAAAGTGAAATAATTATAATGACAAATGCAGCAAACATTTTGGGAAGAAAAAAAAAACAGCAAAAAGTGAAAGAACAATTAACTGCCAACTGATGGAGATGATGGTAGATGCTATTAGTAAAAAAAACTGACCGAACAAGTCTTGAGAATTTTTGGTCAGCACTGGTTCAAGTTTAGAGAAATTCACGAAGAGGCAATTTTATATAATCCCACGGAAAAAACAGATTGGGGAGAAAAAAGGATTGAATATGAATATCACAAGAAATCAAAACATCATTGGCTAATTAATTACTACATTAATACTAACTACTGTACCAATTACTTCTTAGTTTGTTTCACAAGCAAGGCAAGTTAGTTAACTACCTGTCTATTTTTYCTGTGGCTAGTCTGGGCCACACAGCCTATGCTCATTTTGCGTTGGGCCATTTTTTTTTCTTTGCTGTATTTATTTTTCTTTTTAGAACAAATTGAGAAAAGTATAGGAAGGGTGGGTGACACACTTGGCACTTTATAGGATCCCACCCTATAAACAAAGCAAGATTAGTACTAATAAGATCAGTTGACCACAAAAAAAAAAAAAAGTTGAAACTGAAAATGCTAATGGAAAGCTCTTACACAAACTAATTACTTCAAGTGATTATAGAACAGTTTGATGGATTTCTTGAGTCTGTCCAATCTTCAAACTATGAATGTTTTAGTAGTTTAAATTTTGTCTTTTTGTTTGCAATTTATCTTTAATGAAGGAAGTATATTTTAATATGGTGTATACAGGGTCATTCACAACAACTAGTTTCCAACAAAGACATTAGAAACTGCACATTCCAAATAGCTTATAACCTAGGTTATGAAGAGTAGCCTTAAATCTTAAATTCTTTAAATCCAAACAAGCTGTTTTTCCAAAGGAAAACAAAGAAGTAGAGTTTAAAAGCTCTGAGGTCTAGTATGAAATTACAAGTGAGAATCAATTGGCCTCCTACATGGGGTAGACATGCATGACACAATTATTTTGGTCTTAAAACCTGAACAGTAATTGAAGATTATATATTTGCCTGTAAATCAAGCTATGTAGTTTTCAACTAGCTACAAYGGAGCTTTGCATTATATTACAGTTCAAACATAGCTAAGCTTGGATGGAAATGCCAGTGACAGATAGCAATGAACTAAGAGAGGGAACTGAGACTTCGCAAGTGCTCAAACTGATTCATGGGCAGCTGACTGCAGCCAGTGATGTACCAAACCCAGCTCAGCCATCTTCCTGGGGGTTTTTTTTGTTTGTTTGTTTTTTAATATATAAAGGAAATGCATCCCACTTACGCCAGTTAGCAAACTAAACCCTGACATGTCAACCTTAACAAAAATAGTAGTGATCTCTATGAAATTAAATCTCCTTCAATACTCCACCTGTTAACATTTAAAAGCTTTGAAAGGGGACTACCAGGAGGACAGGAACCAGAGACAAATTTTACTGGATTGCAGGGCAGTTAAGAGATTTATTTAGATACTAGAATCCAACATGATGTTCTCCTGAAAACAAAAAAGCACAATACCTCTAAAATGGGCAACTGCCAAACACCTGCCACTCCTAAGTATTTAGCACTATCTCAGAGGAGTCTCTTGAATCCCAAGCTACAGGCATCCTATACCAGCTAACCTTCGGAGCGTTGACAGATGCTGGGGTCACAACTGTACAACACTTTGCTTGCTATCATTTCCTGCGGGTGAAAATTGCCAAGTTAGAATTGCTGAGTTGTACCAARTTGTTTGTGGCATGTGTTTTTCTTAAGGCTTCCAGAAAACAAAGCATCGCACGCTTAGTAAAAGAAACACTACTTGAACCAACATTTTCTATCATTTTCAGTTCTGGCAACGCACTCCATCGATGTTACATTTGTCACAGAAAGGAAACCACAGCTATAGATAACATTTGAAAGCAAACTATACCATAAAGCCTCTGATCCWTTAAAAAATGATACAACAAAAATCAATTAAAAAAAAAAGTGACAACAGAATCTTTTTCCAAACTCCTAAATATAGAGGAAAACAGAACCAGAAGTTGCTTTTTCCTGAGACAACTTTCGTAAGCAGGAGATCAGCTTTCTAACTGACATGGATGCATGTGGATAAACACAGTTACACATGAACATTATCAATGGTGATGACATGACTCATACTTAAACATTCTTTGTTGTAGMACTAATTGTTATTTTCATCTGAAAGGTAAAGGAAAAGCCTGCAGGCACTGAGTCGTTTAAAAGATACTGATGAGATTTACCATGCAACTCCTACCAAGGCCCTGAAAGCCCAGAAGAGCTGCAAAACAGGTGACAGATGYAACTCAGGCTCCTTTAGCCCAATGGCTTCCTTCAAGTACCTAAATATTTCAGGTACTCCGGTTCTCAGTCCATTTTGCCTGTGGGTAACCCCAAAGAGTTTCCTGGTCTATAAAATTGCAGACATATCATGCTGATGAGCTTTGGAAATAGTTACATTAAACACATAAAATAAACAAATAAATACTTGGAAAACAGTTCACCCCAAAACCTCAGAAGAGTAACAAACAGATCTGTATTAAGGTGCTCATTTAATCCCACAGGAGAAGCATTTTCTAACTCCCATCAGATTTCTTTTCTTTCCCCAATGGTCCATCCAATTCTGCTCAATATTTGTCTCCCAGCTCTTGCAACTT